AAATCGAATTCAAAAATAAATCAATGAATTCCTCTATATGATAATAGTTTATGCTATCGAATCGATGAATTTCTTTGATTAGATGAATCTAATATAAAAATTATTGCACATATTGATTTAAATATAGAGGTCTTTGAAATAATAGAAAACGAACTTATTTTAATTGTGATGAAACACAATTTATCCGTTTAAGAAAAACATGTCTCATGTTGTTGATAAGGAATATGTGTACTACTTCTAAATTTAAAGAGATAATTGAAGAATTCTTTGAAGACGTTTATTACATTATTGATATACGCAAGTATATTTACATGTTCATATTGAATAATATAGATTCATCGGTATGGAGTGTGGGTGTGGGTGTGGATGGGGTGTGGGTGTGGGTGTGGGTGGGGTGTGGATGTGGGTGGGTGTGGGTATCTTCTCATCACCCACACCCACCACACCCACACCCACACCCCACACCTATAAAGGGTTTCATATAGGAACAAACCCGGAAACCTTCTATAGGTTTCAGAGAAAACGGATTTTTTTTAGAGTGTACACCCACCCAAAATCACAGCCACACCACACCACAACGTAGCTTTGTAGAGCGTGAAAAAGTGCATCGATCTATGTTATTAGCTTTGGCATTGAGATTAAAATAGAAAAAAAATTATGAACATTACAGCTATTGTCCGGAACACTGAAAACCTACGAAAGACTCATAGACCGCCAGACAATGTAGTCTTGGAAAAAACTTTCTCTGATCAAGAATAAATAACACTAAATATACAGAAGGGTGTAGAATGTCAAGCTCTATTTTTCCATAATATTGACAATGAAAACTGAGAGGTGGTTGATTTACGATGGAATCTCGCGGTGTCCTTTACATAAAATGTTTTTCATGGGGTGAAAAATAATACTTAACAATCATATTTGGTAACTGTATCTGCGAGAAAAAAGAGTGTCTGAATCATTTGCAACTTATATAAATAGAGCCATCGATTCGATGAATGTAGAAGTACCTCATTATTTTCGTAATAGGGTTGCTTATGTATCAATCTATGTAAGAATAATGAAGCAGTTTTCAATAAAACTGCGAGAACAGTCGACAAAAATCGTTGTCTTTGGACATTTAATGTCAATATAATCTCACGATTTTGGAACAATAAATGTCGATAAAATCACTGATTTTTGCGCGATTATGATCTCATGAGAACAGAATTCATTATTGTGCTATTGTTTTTTTTCTAAAAAAATGTCGTGCACTTAACCACGGAAAAATAGAAAAATGCAGCGTAATATCTGTTTTGTCGCGCGTTTTCTCTATAAAATCTTGCCACTTTTAGCATAGAAGTCAAATTTTTCAAATCAACCTGAAACTGATTTTCTGCATTTAGATATCTGATCGTTATCAATTATCATATCGAAATCAATCGAGTAAGTCCATGTTGCTTCCTTTCATTAATTTCAAGGAAATATTGCTTGGATTTACAGAGAAATGCGGGATAAGTTAGCTTATGCTTCTCGATTCATGGCATCCTCTCATTTGCGAACATAAAGTCGAATTCATATCTAATAGATATAGATCAAGTATCCGATGCAAAACATCATATTAAATAAATTGATGAATGTTTGCTGTTTTCAATTTTCTTTCTTCATATTTCTTCGGATTTTTACTCAGGTAGATAGGATTCGTTGTGATTTCCCCCCTTTATAAGTTAAAAGACAGCTCTTCTCCGATACCAGTGACTTGTCTTTTCTGATGAGACTACGTTAGAGCATGAATTCTTTCTATACTATCTATTTCTTTTCTAGTTCATGTTTCTGGGTTCATAAACGGTTGATAACTACAGAAAAAGAAAGAAGTTAATAAATACCATTTGTAATAAATTGAGAGCATGCAACGCGATCCATAGAATTTATCCTTATTAACATTCATTATGAAATCGGCGGGGTGCAAAATGTCTGGCTACCCGAATAATCTCTGGAGCAACACCTTAAGTGTGTGCGTGTGTGACTGTTTCTTCTTTTTCGACACCCATTGATACCCACACCCACATCCACACTCACCCTTTACTGAAAAGATCCTTTGTTTAACGGAAAAATTAGGGATGTAACAGTACCGGTACAATAATATAAAATCCGGTTAATACCAATGTCATTCAATTCTGACAATTCGCTGCTGTATTGGTGCTGAAACATGCCTCATTTTAAGGTTCCGAAGAATTCTTAAAGATTTCTAAAGATTTC